TATATATATATATACATATACATATATATTCATAAGAAGCAATCTCGCTCAAATTTAGGAAAAAGCTTTCCCGTTGAGCAAGTAAAAGCCAGATAACAACAATATGCTTGACATATACGGTCAATTAAACACAGCAACAACCTCAGATGGTGCACTGCAATAAATAAATATGCATGCAGGAAGAATGGGTGCACCGCTCAGAGTAGTAAAGCAAAATACAATTTCAATCCAAATATGACGTGGGTGTATGTTTGACTAGAACATCCGATCGAGGAGGGAGCCTGGGACCTTTCCAGCACCCGTGGCCTGGCCAAAACCCCTTCAAGGATTCCTATTTTCTTTAATAAGATATTTATCATAGCTAATTTACTTGGACTATAAATATGTTGTAATCGTAGTTTGAGACAATTTTTTCTTAGGTTTTTGCTATTTGGAGATATCTTCACTGTTTAATTCTAACTTTGGAGTGTTGTAGGCTCATCCTCTTCAAGTAGCGAGTCTGTAACTTGAAGGGAATGGATGGTGAACCCCACCTCCTCCCAATGTCTGCATGTTGTCATCCAAGCCTCCAACTGTCCGCTCATTGGCTGTCCTTCCTTGCAAACAGCAGCCGACCTGCCATGTTGCCCTTCCAACCTCCATAAACTTCACATAGTTACAGTCATATCAACGTTTTTATGCTAGATCCACTTCTTAAACACCTTTTGGAACCCTACAACATTGTTATTTGGTAACAGAGCACAGCAAACACTAAATTTTTAAGGATTTGCCTTCCCAGCTCCTAAACCAAAAATCCACAACCTAACAATTTCAACAAATCAATGCCCTAACCATCTCTACCTCATTTCCAAGCCCTAACCCTAAAATTTTTAGTTAACCTTCCAATCTCCACAAAAAATTCGTCTCGACACAAATCACCTAAATCTAAACCCTTGGCTAATTTTTAATACACAAGATTACAAAAAGTGAAATTGTAAAAAGATGAGCAAGTCACTATGCCACTAAGAAGAAACCCTAAACAAAATATTCGGGAGCTTATCATAAAGGATATGCAACATAAACTCCTCTAATTGTAGCAAATTCTGGTTGATATTAAAGTATAAGATATGGGAATGTCATCCACAACAACGGTGACCATTCAAATAAAAAACCCCTTTTCACCAAGAAGCATCAAGTGAAAAAGAGTAGATGTCGCGTTGATTTGACAATGAGTGTAAGAATAGAGAATATGATTTTGCAGTAAAGGCAAAACACCAAATTTTAACAATTACATGAATCTGAACGAACTCATTGAGTGACAATATGATGCGGAACGAATCTTTGTATACAATGACATTCCACCTAATAGAGAGGTGAAGCTAGTTGTCATCAAGTTAAAAAAAAAAGGTGAATCCTTGTAGTGAGAAAATTTGAAGCTACTATACCAACATAAAGGAAAAGATTAAATCATGACTAGATCCAAGATGAAGATTGATATACAGCATAAGTACCTCTCACAGCACTACAGATGTGATATCCTTTTGAGAATCCACCATCATGTTATTGAGACTCCAACATCTACAGCATAATGTGTTATCAGTCGAGAGGTTACACGGTTGGGTTTGAGTTAACACATCTTAAAGTATGAGTTGGTGAAGCCAAATAACACTACAGCTCAATATATTGGATTATTGAGGTCATCCATCGGCAATATGGTGCAACTAAAACCCCACTACTTACATGATGTTCATATCTTAGGCATAAAGGTAAAGAAGCAACATAGTAGCATCAGGTCTAATCTTCCTTTCAAATAAACATTGAACAATAAGTTCGGTTGCTAGAAAACACTCACCAGAGTACCTAGACCTACTGCCTGTGAGAAGCCAACACATAAGGAATTGGGAGAGCTTTTTTTTATTAAGCATGGGTGTAATAGATGAGGCAACGAATGAACACCCAAAAAGAAAAGAAGACGAGAGGAGTATTAGTTCCCACCGATGACGGTAAGATATTTAGGGTTTGATGAGTTCTTCAGACCGAGTTCAAAAGGGTCTGTTTGAAAGTCGAAAAATATTTTAGGATAGTTTTCAATTTTGTAATTATTAGGAAAAAGTAATTAGTTGTGAAAATCTATTGATATGAAGATCCAATTTAGGAATAAAATACTTTCATTTTACAATTTCCTAATTTTTCAGGTTTCAATATATGGTCAATGTACAGTGATCCAAGTCGTGGCCTGTAGGGACTGTTGTGGTTGGCGGGGTTTATTGTAAGTCCCCTCAGTGATCCAAGTCGTGGCCTGTAGGGACTGTTGTGCTTGGCGGGGTTTATTGTAAGTCCCCTCAGGTCAAGGGTTTGATCCCCAGTGGCGCTGGGTTCTCAAATATTTAAGCACATGGTGCGGGCTCCCATCATGGGGCCCAGAGCATTGGAAAGGCCCAAGCATGACACCATTCCCTCACGATAACCACCACATACAAATGGTTCCAAGAAAAGAGACAATACAAAAAATTACAAGAGACGTAAAAGAAAAAAACAAAAAATGCCAAAAAAAAGTACTATCACATAGCTAGAGAGCGACCCAATTTTGCTTTGTCTCGGCCTCTAGTTCTGGGAAAGGAGC